GTCAGGAAGCGCTTCCTGGCATCCACTTTGAACCTTGGCTCCCTGAGCTTGGCTCTGTCGGAGCGCATCCGGCCTTCCTCTGCAGAGGGGAAAGGTCCCCTCCGTCCAGCCGCCTCGAAACCTTGTCATAGAATTCCACAAGGCTCGTCTGGCAGGACCTGTTTTTGCAGAAACCGTGTTGCATCATGTCGTGTTCCTTTGTTCCTGCTCATACTTGGACAGAAGAGTGTCCCGCAGCATCAGGCACCCCTCTGGGGAGCGCTTAGAGCTGCAGAACTTTTTTCTGTCGCAGAAAGAACATGGCCGCGTTCAAAACACGGTGCTGGAGGGGGCTTTGTGAACACCCTGGACTGACAGCAGACAGGCAAGGGGGCCCTGGAGGAGCCTCCCCTGGAAGCAGCAAGGGCCAAGCTGGGCGCCCCTGCTCTGGGCACATCGCGAGAAGGCGAGGCTCTGTGAGAAGCGGCTCGGGCAGCAGTGCGAGGGCCGGTCGGGGCAGAAGCAGGGGGAGGCCGACCGGCGATCGGCGGGGGGATCCCGCAAAGGAAGCGGCAGCTCTGAGCTGGCCACAGCTGAGCAGGGCTGTCAAGCACAGGGTATTTTGCAGGCTTACCGTAGTTGGAGGTGACTTGGCAGCACGGAAAAATGACACACGTGAAGAGGATTGTACCCTAATGTTTAAGAACCCATTTATGGATCTTCAAGGCCCTGGAAAGGGAGATGAAAAACACACGTGGGCATCTGGAATGGGTGCAGCACTCCGTTCTGCCACTGATTCATAGTCAGTTCTTCTCCCTCTCTGCCTGTGCGCAGGCAATTGACTGAACTCCTGCTGTTGTTCCAGGGCCGCTCCACTCGTGGAGTCATCTGCAACTGGAGGGGTGGCTCCCCGGGGACCCCGTTGCCATGTAAATCTTGCATTTGCCGCTCTGGCAAGCCAGCTTGACTCAGTGGGCCCCTTCGTTCTGTGAGAAGACCCGGAGGATGAGAGGCGGCTTTAATTGACGGCGCTATTTTAATGGAGTAGCAAGAATGAGTCTCTCTTTCAATCCTGGGGTGTGGGGAGCAGACAGCCAGAAGTGGTGGGATGTGTAGAAAGGCTTGGTGCAGAGCCGCCCCCTGGACCCTGCCCAGGGTGCCCTCGTCTTCTGGCTCAGCAGCCGGCACAGGGGGGCGAATTGAGGGAGAGAGGCGTGGTTCCCCCGCTGGGCTCCTTGGCAGGCGGGACTAGAGCCAGGCCGTCTGGGCCCTAGGCTGGCACCCCCCGTGCGCGGCTCCCCAGTGCCAGCCGGGAGAGGAGTTGGAGGCAGGGAAGCGGCCCTTGCTGCCTCTCCATCCACCTGCTCCTCCTCAGGGCGCCGCTGGGGATGGGATCCGGCGCCTTTTGTGCTCTTCAAAGCAGGTTCCTCCGTGGAGCGTGGCAGCCCCGGGCCACCGCGCCGTGTGTGCCCCGTTGAACCTGGACTCAGACTCTAAAGCCATAAATTAGAGGTTTTATCTGCTCTTACCAGATGGAGAGGGGAGGGGCATGTGCGGTGCGCTTTCTGTCTGAGGGAGGGTGGGAAGGTGGCTGTTTAAAGTGGAGCACTTTGGCTGTTTCGCAAATGGAAGGGAGCGTGCAGCCTTCCCCGCCAGCCTCCTTTCCCCTTCTCTTTCGCGGTCCGCCCTGCCTTCTCCTGCTCCTCATGCCGGTCGCAAGACTCGGCACATGGCGATGCCACCTGCTCCAGGTCGCCCGGATGGTGAGCAGGACGCGGTTGGCGTGCGGCCGCGGAGCAGTGATGCCGGAATTCTGCTAGGCGGAAGCATCTTGCCAAGGTGTGTGGGTTGGGTCTCCCGTTCCGTCCCGGGTGAAGCTGCCAAGACCAGGCGCAGCTGTCCGTGCTCAGGTGACCCGTGTTGGGCTCCTGCAGCTTCTCCGACCTGCTGTCCTCGGTGTGCTTGATTCCCAGCCGGTAAGGCCATTGGGCACGATGGAAGATGGCATCCAGCGTGTCAGAAGGACACCAGGTTGGGGAAGGTTGCAGGAAGCCAGTGGGGGGAGCTGCCTGGGCCCTGGTCACCACTGCTGGCCTTGGCCGCTTCAGCTGGGGCTGCACGGGGGACCCCGAGCTGGGCTGGCTTGCTGCCCTGGGCTGGGCTTGGGCCTGCCTCCGAGGGCAGTCTAGGAACTGCAGCCCGCGCAAAATGGTTCTACGGAGTTCTGGCCGGGGCGGGACATGAACCGTGCCAGGCCTTCCGCGGCTCCGTTGGGTTTTCAGGCCTGGCTTAAAGTGGGGACTTGGCCCTTCAAAGCTTCGTGGGTCTGGGGACCTCAGCACCTGCTGGAACGCTTCCTCCCGTATGTGTGCGAAATGCAAGCACCTGTTCTGTCATCCAGCGCCCCCCGCCCTGCCTTTACTCACAGCACGGGCACTTGGCATCGCGATGAATGGAATCGTAGCCAAGGGATGCATTTCCAGATCAGTGAGCACAGCAATCCAAAGAAGCCGTAAAAGCGGAGGCAGCAGAAACGGGAAAGCATCCGTTACAGTTGGGTAGCAGGGAACAGAGCTGCTTCCTCCGGGGTGGCAGGTGCCAGAGGAGCAGTGGGGGGGGGCATCCTCCAGAAGGCCCCCCCCCCCCGGCCCTGGCACCGTGCTTCGGCTCCCGACTTGCTTGTGGAAGTTGCCCCTGCCCCTGCTGTGGGGCCTCGGGGGCGCCTCCTTCCACCCCTCCATGGTGCACGGTGGCTTCGGCGATGGGTGCGGCGTGACATAAATAAATAAATTTGGCGCTGAGCTCCCAGCCTTCCTGCCTGGTGGCCGTGCCGGCGGGGGCTTTGTGCGGGCGGCCCCCTCTGGCTGAGCCATGGCCTGCCCCAGACAGTCCCTGCCGCCTGCGATGGGGTGGGTGCTGCACTTAAGGCCCGGTCATGTTGCCACTTCGTCGCCAAAGCGGCCCGAGTGCTCATTGGCGGGTGCGGAGCCTCGGGCAGGTGGGCACGCTGGCCCACCGGAATCCCCTGGGAAGAATGCGCCTTCCCCCCAGGGGCCCCCCTTCGGGCGCTTCCCCCGCTTCTGCAGCTTTGCCTGTTTTTTAGCCCCAAGGCTGCAGTGCCTCTCTGGGGGCGTCCTCACGGGCAGTGCGCTCTTCCAGGTGGCCCCTGTGGGAAGCCTTGGCCCTTTGACACGCTTTGCGTTTTGCCTTCTGCTGACTCAGCCCTGGACGTGGCCCGCAGGAGCTCCTGGGGCGGAAAGGGGCTCAGGGCCTCCAGAGCAGCCTCGGGTTTTGCTCGAAGGGAGAACAGTGGGACGACGCGGGGCATTTTTCTGTGTGCAGGTGTGGGAAAGAGAGAATCCCTCTGCTCACGCGTGCAGCCATCCCGCGCAGGGGGCCCTTTCCTTTTCCCTCACAAAACCCATCCGGGGTGCACCTGGCTGGCCCCAAACCCGGCTCGCGCTCTGCGCCCCCACCTGCACCCCCACCTGTCTTCAGCCCCCTCTCGGGCGCCGAGCGCTCAGCCCTCAGTCGCTGCCTCCTTTGCAAGTGCAATTCTCTCCTTGGCTGCCTGCGGCACCCGCTGCAGTGCTCCCCAGGCACAGTCGCGGGCCCCCCTCGCCGGAAGGCCCTTCCACCCACCTGCAAGCCCACCTCTGTGCACGAGCCGTGCCCTCGGGCCAGAGTGCTGCTCGGAAGTGCAGCGCAGGCAGAAAGCGCTCTCGCTCTGCGGCAGGGCGGATGGAAGCACAGGTCTGGAGCCAAACGCATCCCCCCGGGCTTCCCCCAGAGTCCTTGGCTTGTGCCCCCAGCTTTCCCAAGCCACGGCTCCTTTGGGGCGTTTCCGGTTGGAAAAAGCAGCAGCAGCAGCAGCAGAAAGCCCCGGAGGCACCGGGCTGCCACCTCCTCTGCCAAGACCCCGGCAGCTCCTGCGCCTGTCAGGGTGGGGAGCGCGAGTGGCCGCCTGCACCATGTGAAAGGTCAGGGCTGCCCGTTGGCAGGACAGCCTGGGCCCAGTGGCCAGACTCGGGCCTCCCGGCGTCGGTCCGCAGGCCTGAGGAGAAGGCAGCTCCCTGTGTGCCAGAGATGCTGGGCCGGCCCCTTTGGCCCCCCGCCCAGCGCACGGGGCCTGTGCAGCACCTTTCGGCCTCCCCCAGGCTGCTGGCCAGCTTGGCATTCGCCAGACGCCGGCCTCTCGGGGCACGTGCTGCGAACCATATGAGGCTGGTTTTCAGGGGTGGGAAGCTGAAAAGAGCCCCCAAGGCCTTCCCTGCTGCCCGCCCTGGAGGCAGCTCTGGGGCTGGGGGCTGGTGGGGTGGCCTCGGACCCCGCCGCTTCCTTCAGGGCACGCCTGGCAGCAGGGACGCCCGAGGGCAAATGGTGGGCCTTCTCTCCCATCCCATCCCGTCCCTGGCACTGCCACCGGCTCTCAGCATCCCTTCTCGCAGGGTCCATGAAACCCCAGGAACCGTCCTTGCCTGCTCAGCTCAGCCCCCTTTGCCCCCACCCCGTGCAGGGTCTCTCTGTCGGGTTTCATCCCCGTGGGCGTCGGGCCTGTGGGGTGACACGCTCCCGAAACCCGTCTCCCTCGCACTCGCTGCTTTCCCAGTGCCGAAGCGAACCAACTCGCCCTGCACTGACGCAGCCGTGCCTCCATGGCCCAGTTCGCTTCAGTGGGGCTTGTTCAGGAGAATTTCCTGGTGGATTGGGCCCCAGGAAAAATCGGTCAGCTCTTTCTGGGCAGGAGCCAAGGTCTGGAGGACCAGCCGACGAGGAGAGGACAGAACGGTGGCTGCTCCCACCCACGTCCTCCCCACCGCGAGGTGGCTCCGCGATTGTTTCCCAGGGCCGGGAGTCCCAGAACCCCTCTCCCTGTGAATGCCCATCTGCCGCTCGGCGAAGACTCGGCGTTCAAGCCTCTCGCCACAGCGGGTCCCACTGCGTGTTAGCCCCCCAGCTCGGCCAGCTCCGTGCTCCTCGGGCCGATTCCCTGTCATGCCCTCCCCTCTCCTCGGCCGCAGGTTACAGCATCACGTGCGAGTACACGGCCCACAAAGAAGGCGTCCTGCGGGAAGAGGTGGTGCTCTGCAGCGAGACCAACGACGGCGCCTCGGTCAAGGTGGTCGTGCAGGCCAGAGTGATGGGTGAGTCGCTGGCCCCCCCGGCCGTGCCGGCCCCCCCGGGGGCTGGGTTGGGCGCGGGGCTGATCAGGCCCACCAAACAGCCTTCGCCACGCCCCCGGTGGCTGGCGCCGAGGGACTGCGGGGCCAGGCACCCACCGGAGCCCTCACCTCTGCGGGAGCCTGCAGACAAGCCCCCCGGGGGCTGCCCCCCCCCCGGCTCTGTCTGCCGAACAAGCAAGGGACGAGCAGGGGCAGTGGTGGCAGGAAAGGCAGCCGGGGGGGGGGTGCCCTGTCTGCGTGCTTTGCCGGGGGCCCTCCGCACCCCGGAGCAGCATCGCCCCCTCTCCCGCCCCGCCTCCGCCGGCCCTGCGGGTCCAGACATGCAGAAATCCCCCCCCCCACCGATGCGGTGCGGCCTATCTGCACATCGGCATCGTCCCCGGCTGCTCTCATATCCTGCTTCTGCGCGGGGCGCGTGACACAGGAAATGAAGGCACCTCTGGGGCACGTGAGGCTCCTGCAGAGCACGGAGCAGAGCAGAAGAGCCCGCGGCGGTGAGCGCGCCGCTCGTGCTCCTGATCGACCCCAAGATCGGAGGAGGCACCTGCTCTGCGCCGCCGACCCGCATGAGGGCCGGCACGGCCGAGACTTGCACTCCGGCGGCCACAGGGAAGGGCGGAGCAGGGGTGCACCGGGGCGGAGGTGCCCGTCCTCCCGGCTGCCGACGGCTGGGGCGCCCGCCGTTCTCCGTCCTCTTTGCCATCTTGCTCGCACGGAAGCGCGCCGCATGCTGCCTTGTTCGCGAGCCAGTTCCTGTCGCACACCTGGCCCGGTTTGCCCGTGCTGCGGGCCGGTGATGACGCCCGTCCGGCCAGCCGTGTGGGGCCACCGGCTGGCCTTCCGCGGTGCCTTTGTAAAGTCGGTTGTTTTGATTTGAAAGACGGTTCGGACGGGTGCTCCTTCTGATTTCCGGAGGTGCTGATGTCTCTGTGCCAGCTTTTCTCCTGCAAGGAGGTGAATTTTAGCCCTCCTCTCCACGCCATCCTCACACCAGGCCTGCGGGGTCAGCCAGGCTGCTGTGTGGGAGAGCGGGCCACGAGCGACACACGCCAGCCCCTGCCTCAGCCTCACGCTCCTCTGAGGGCTCACCAGAGAGGGGGGACTTGGGGGCCTGCAGCCACGCCCCTTGCCCTGACCCACTCTCCTCTCCTCTCCTCGCAGACCGCCACCACGGCACGCCCATGCTGCTGGAGGGTGTGAAGTGCATCGGGGCCGAACTGGAGTACGACTCGGAGCAGAGCGAGTGGCACGGATTTGACTAGCCGGCGGCTCCCTGCCCTCCTCGGCCGGCCCAGGCGTCTTTTTAGGGGTTTCTAGACATCTCTCTCTCTATTTTTCAGCGAAGCTTGAAAATAAAGCCACCATCTCAACCATCTGCTGGCAGCCATGGCCGTGCGGTCCCCGTCTCGTGCCGGCTCCCGGCGCAGCTTGTCCCGTGGGGCTCTGTGCTGCGTTGTCGCTGCCCCCTTCCTGCCCGCGTGCCCGGGCCTGCGGGCCGCTGGGTTGGCGGGCGAGGGGCTCCAGGCCGGCGGGCTGGGCAGGGGCCCGTTTCCCCCGCCTCCGGGCGGCCTCGGCGGGGTGCATGATGCTTCTCTAAGGATCGCACGTGTGCTCCGCCCCGCCGGCAACTGGGACGTCCGGGGACACGGCGGCTTCAGCGCCGCTGCCTGCTGTGAGGGCAGGGCTGGGCGCGATGGCCTTCTGGCCCCCTCCAGCTCTCCTGTTCTGATTGTCTGGTCCGCTTATGGGTTTAGTGTGGATTTCAGGGCTTTCTGCCACCGCCGCGTTTTCAAGCAGGTGAAAAGGGTGCCCCGTGGAGGGGTTCTGGCATGCAGCCTTCGTGGGAGAGACGCTTCCGCATTGCTTTTCCCTTAGTTCCTCCCTGGCGGGCGGAGACGAGGCAAGGAGAGCGCGGGCAGGCGCTGGCTGTGGGGTGGCTGCCCGCCTGGCTCGGCACCGGCAGCGGCCAGAGCACGGCCCCGCTGCTCCGAGTGAGGCGGGCGGTGCGCGAGCCACATGTGCGCCGAAGCCCATGGAAGCGGCTGCTGATCGCCAGCGGCAGAGACCTTCGCCGCAGGCCGCCCGTACCCGGCCCGGCGCCCTCTGGCTGTGGGGGACTACAACTCCCAGCTGGTGTGCTGGGGGTTGTAGTCAGCCCAGCTGGAGGGCACCAGCCTAGGAAGGGAAGGCGGCTTTGCTTGGCTGCGTCCGTCGGTCGGAGCCGGCGTAGAGGACAGCTCGGCGCTCGGATGGTGCTCGCTCCTCTCTTCTCTTCTTCCCCCGCCCAGCCCCTCCGGACGGCACACCGCACAGGCCTCTCAAGCGGCAGCTCTGCAGGGGTCTCCCCAAGCGGACGCTCCTCCGCTGCACAAGGCTTCCGTGTCCACGAAATGCCAGCAGGCTCTCTGCCGCAAAGGGGGCCTGCCCACGAGGAGGAGCAGCTGGCCACCACGTGGCGGCCGTCACCCAGGTCCTGCCTGTCTGAAGGTGGGGAGGGTCTCCTGCCAAAGGTGACCCCTCCGCCACCTCTCGTCACCAGCCGTACGGCGTGTCAAAACCCTGCTGTGTTCAGGGACGTCCCTCTTTGAGGGCTCTCCTTCCAGCGGCTACAATGCACCCCTTCCCACCCTCTAAATTAACGCCCCAAATCTCTCAGTAGTCAGGACCCGCAGTTCCTAACCTGAGTCACAGAGAGGCCCTGTTGGCCGATTTCCTAGAACTTCAGGAAGTCCTTCCATGCTCCCCAGCAAGCAGGGGCAGAACAGCACAACGGCCGCCTGGGCCGCAGCCAAGAGGTCAAGCACTTGAGTGCTCCAGCCTTGGAAAACAGGGTGCCAACGCAGCCTCCTGCGGCCGGCCGGCCGGCCAGCACAGATCGTCCGTTCCTTCGTGCTTCGGAGCCTGCCGGCCTGCAGCAGCCCGCTCTGTCCTGCCTCCTCCTCCTCCTCCTCCTCTACCAGGCATCACAAGATAGAACAGCACCTGGGGGAGGCCCGTCGGGCAGCAGGGCGAGGGGGCAGGCTAGCGTGGCACTCGGCCGCCCGCACCAGCCCGGCAGCACAATCCTTGGTCCCTCTGGGCCGCCTGGAGGGTGGGCGCCCCTCAGCCGGCGGCAGAACCGGGATCCACACGGAAGGGCAGGTGCCGGCCGCTTCCCCGCACGGAAGCAAGGCTCACCCCTGATCCGGCTTCCCCAGCCGCCCACACTCCTCCCTCGCGGTGGAAAGGAGGACTCGCCGCCCATCGAGAGCCGGACATCAGAAGACGGGCTGCTGCTCCGCCACATCCGGTCTCCAGCCCCGCCGACCCGCTCAGCCTTGCTCTTGCTCAGTTGTAAGATTCATGGTACGCAGACTAGGGATGTGATATAGTTACGGAAGAAACCGGCGGTTTTTTATGTGCCTCTCTGTATATCGATATATACACACATGCATCTATGTATATCTTAAAAGAAAAGTTGTGTATTTTGGGTTTTTTTAAAAGCAAACATTCTCTGAAAGAAAACAATAAACTTCTGTTGGAAAAAAGTCTCTGGACGTTGTCGATTGATCCAGGGCGCAGCTCGTCTCCAAACAGGGTCCCACCCCCGGAAAGGAAACTTCCTTGGGTGAGCACGGGGCCGCGTGCCCAGTTCCGGGCTCCTCTGTCCTGGTCACCCAGCCAGCCGGTGCCCATTCGGGGGTCTGGAGAGACTTGGCTGCCCCCTGCTGGCAGCCCCTGCGCCAGCCTTTTTTTGGTGGAACCCAAAAGCACATGGCGTGGGCTCCTCTGGATTGGACTACAACTCCTAGCAAGCAGAGCCATGGTTGTTTGTCCCAGCCATCACGGAGCGGCCCGTTAGCCCTGCAGCCGCTCGTGAGCGCGACACCTCGGCATCGTCTCGCGGCTGCAAAACTGCCCAGCCGGGCCACGGCCAGCCTGGCGCCCACTGCCTGCTCCGACTGGCAGCAGCAGGGTCTCCCGGGGGAGCCTCCGCTGGAGGCCCCGTGGGTTGGCCCAGGATCTGCCCTCAGAGCAGGCCTCCCGCCCACACCTGCGCCTGGCCACGCCCTGGTGGGAGGTCAGGTGCGCCACCTCCGCCAGGTCAGCCTGAGCATGCACCGCAAACCCCCCTCACGGGGCACAGGGAGGCTGCCGTGCCAGGGTCCGGACTGCGCGGGCGGCAGCCGCATGCCACGTAGAAAAACGGGCGTCCGGGACTCCCCAGAGCTGTCCGTCCGTATTTACACACCGGTGCACGTGAAGCACGGAGGGCTGGCAGGATAGGCCCTCAGAGGGAGGCTGCGCCGGGTGGGAAGGAAGGCGCCATCGCCCCCTGTGGGGGCTCGCCCCAGTGGCATCTTCTTCCCCATGGAGGCTGACCAGGAGGGCCGGCAGGGGGCCAGGGAAACGGAGCCGTGGCAGGCGCTCTTCGGCTCTTGGTGCAGTCAGGTGAGGGAGCGGCCTCAGTAGCCCTGCAAAGTGAGGGCCCCCAAGGGTGCAGGGCCACAGTGGAAGCGCCCCCTGCTGCTGACGCGGGCAGGGCCCCCGTTTGTGCATGGGATCCTCTACCTTTTGTGGGTGCTGTTTTGGGCCCTTCCCTTCCGGGGACCAGTGTAACACATCGGAGGAAATACCCTTCAAAAAAACCGTCGTGTGACGTTTTGAAGGCCTGCAGATTTATTCTGGCGTGACCTTTCCTGGCCCGTCGCCTCCTCCAGCAGATGCATGGAACAGTACGGAGAGCCAGGAGTCCCCCCCCCCCCCCGTGGCAAATACAGTGGCGGGGGCAGGTTGCGCGAGGTGCCGTAAACCTGCAACTCGGGGGGCATCGAGATGCCGCAGTGCCTGGCCCGGGGCAGTCCTCATAAGGCCACACCGTCACGAGTGCCCCGGCACGACCCCAGGCGAGCCTGGCATGGGCGTGGGCACCGTCCCGGATGACCCCAGGGGAGCAGAACGTCGGGCCAGGAGACCCGGGGCTTGGGGGGCTTGTGGGGCTCTTCTCACCGTTCCCTGTCATTGCCACCAAACCCCATGATTCCGTTCCCTTGAGGAAGGCGGCGATGGGCCCAGAAAGCCGGCGTCAGCGCGCCCAGCACCCAGCGCTGCAAGAGTGTTCGTCGCCGTGGGGGCCATGGAGTCCCACGGGGGCCGGAGAACGCAGGCGCTGCACAACAGCAAGCGAGCGGCCCGTGGGGGCGAGACCCCGCTTCCGCGCGGCTCGGGCTGCCTGGGCCTCGGACTCCCCCTGGCATGTGGCCGGAAGGAAGGGGGGCCGTTCTGGAGGAAAGGCATGGAGATGGCACGTGGGCCTTCCCGCTGGCGCAGGCTGGCACCGCGGGTCGCCGCGCTCATGGGCAGCGCAGCGTGGCCGCACGTTTGCTGGGGGCTGGGCAGAGCGAGAGGGTGGGCTGCTCCCCACCGCCGGGCAAGTTGCCTCCGGGCGACCCACCAGCGGTCCCAGGAGTGCCGCCTGAGCACGTCTTCTGTTGCAGCGACAGCTCGGGAGCCGCCCCCCGGCCCCCGTGGCTGCTTCTTGGGACCCCCTCCCGCTGCTTTTTGCTGCTCTCTAGGCCGGCCTGCAGAGACATGCTGCCACCTCCAGCTCCGGCTGCCCCGGGCCGCTTTGTCTGCCCTGTGTTGGGGGGGGGGGTCTTTTGCCTCAGGCCTCCTGGGAGAAGGCGGTGGGCCAAGCGCTGCAGTTCGTCCCGCCCCAGCTGGGTGAGTTCCTGGCCTGCCCTTCGTGCTCGTGCAAAGGGGGAGGAGGAGGATGGCTGAGTGGCGCTCCCGAGCAGGACGCCCCAGAGCAACGGGGAGGGAGCGAAGCCGCCCAGGAACCAAAGCTGCACCAGGAGAGGCCTGGCATCCCAGGGCTGTCCTTGCTGTGAAGAAAGGAAGGAGATGAAGACGTACGGATGGGCTTCCAGGCGGCCCGCGCTCGCCTCCGCTTCCACCGGGATGCCTTCGGTCCCGATTTCAGTCACGCGTCGTGCGCATCGGCTTGTCTTGGCTGGCTCAGCGGCACCTCCGGCCCCCATTTCCACCGGTTCTCCAGCAGGTGCCAGGGCCCCGTGGCTCCTGCCATCAGCCGGACTGCCCAGCGGTCTGTGCAGCACCTGCTTCCTTTGGGGAGGGGGTGGACAGCCAAAACTCACATTAAAAACAAAAGAACATTGCTCTGCTAGAACTGTACTGCTCTCCGTAGGGATAAATGCACTCGGACTTGGAAAAAGGTCACCTCTTTCAGTTAAGACAATCCGTGAATGTGCAGTTGTGCACTGAGAAAACTGAATGTTTTATCTTTCCTTTGCAATATTGTCGCATCCTTAATTACAGGTGAAATCTTGACTTGAGTATAATTCCAAGTCCCCTTGGAGGATGGGGCTGCCGCCTCAGGAACAGCCCGTCGCTGCTCACGAACCCCCTGCTGTTCTGCACCAAAGAAAACATGACTTTCTGCACAACGAAACAGAGCAGGATCAAGCCCATCGCAGCGTGCCGCTTCAGCTCGCGCATCCCGGTTCCGCAGAAGGTTTAGCCTTGGCTCTACGGGCCAGCGAAGGGCTGTCTGGCTTTGGCTGGAGCCCCATGGCCGTCGCATTGGGTCCGGTTAACATTGCCAGCTACGGACAGGGGCAATGGTCAAAGGTAAGACCTCCGGCCCACCTCCCTGTGGCAGGTGCGTGCGGGGGGAAAGTGTCTGCTAAAGCTGGCCTGCCGTGGACCTCCCCCCCCAGCCGCGTCAGGCGGGCCTCGCCCCGACGCGCACAGCGAGGCTCGTGGAGGCCCCCCTGCACGAGGCCTCGGCCATCAGTTGGACAGGAAGTCGATGGAGGCCCTCACGGTCTTCGAGGTCTGGACGTCCATGGCGGTCACCTTGATCTCCGTGTCGCCGAACTGCATGCTCGCCCGGATCTCCCGGCGGCTCCTCTTGAGGGAGCCGGATTCCTCCAGCTCGTCCAGGTCCAAGCTGATGGTGCCGCACTTCCGCACGCCCGAATCGGTGATGTAGACGACCTCGTCCGTGGCGCTGCAGTAGATGTTGATGATGATCTTGCGCTGCCCCGCCCGGGCCGGGCAGTAGCTCCGCTGCACCACCTCGCCCAGGGCCACGGACTGGTCCACGGAGACGAACTTCTCGAAGATGTCGGTGCACCAGTTCTTGCCCTCCTTGACCAGCAGCTTCTCCCTGGGGTGCTTCCCCTCCACGAACTTGTTCAGCACCCCCACGCCGTAGGTCAGGGGCGAGCGCCGCACCCGGACGATGGTGGGGTCCAGGCCAAACAGCACGGCCCCCTTCAGGATGGTCAGCCCCACGTCCTGCGGGATGATGACGCGGCAGGCGCTGCTGAATGCGGCCTGGACGGAGTGCTGCAGCATGGCCGACTCGGCGAACCCCCCCACCAGGAAGAGGAACTTGATGCCTTGCACCTCGGGCCGCTGCATGAGCTCGTCTGCGGGGAGAGAACCGGGGGGAGTGCGGGAGGTGAATGGTGGGGTCACCACGGCCAACGGGGGGCCAGGCCAGTTTCCCTTTCGACAGCCAGGCTGGTGCAGCGGGAGCACTTCTGACTGGACTGGGGGGCCCAGGTTCTGGTCTCCATGTAGCTGTGAAGCTTGCTGGGAGCTCTTGGCCCAGACCCGGACCCCCCGCCCAGCCTGCCTCGGCGGGCTCTGCTGAGCCTCACCCAGAGGGAGCAGAGCGAATAGGTCGGCTGGGACTGCTTGTAAGAGGAAGGAGGGTGGGACGGGGCCAAAACCACACCGAGCCAGAGCTTTCCGCCCCATATCGGAGCCCGTTCAGCTGCACGCCACTCGCTAGCACTGTGAGCGAGTCGGTGTCGCACGGGCCTGGCGCCCTGGCCCATCCGGCCCGGGCTCTCTGTGCCCAGCCCTCCGGCTGGGGGCAACTTGCCCCTGACCGGAAGGAGCCCAGAGGCTCGGCCGGATGTCAGCTGCCCGCTGCCCACCCAGGGACGCTGCCCAGGGAGGGGAGCTGCTTGCGCCCACATCCAGTGCCACGGCCAGCCTCGGAGCTTCTCGGCCGCGTGGGCTCAAGGCAAATGCGGGCCCCACACGGGAATCCCCGGCGCCAAAAGGTCCAGCTTGAAAGCCAGTCAGGGCCACGTTCTCAAGCAAGCTGCAGCAGGTCTCAGGCTGGTGAGCGGCCAGTGCCCTCCCCCAGCAAGGGAAGGGAAGGGAAGGGATCAGCACTATTGGGGCCCCGTCCTGAAATCGCCGAAGCTTGGGAGCTCACCGATGTGGTTGATAATCTGACTGATGGTTGGCTGGAAGAGCTCGTTCATGGCCTCGGAGGACATCCGCAGCATCCCCTGGGAGGACCACTTGACCAAGTTCACGCTGGGGACGCAGGGCGAGGAGGAGGCGGCTGTGAGTCAGGCACTCTGAACAAGTCCAGGATCCTTTCCTAGGTGCGATTTTACCCCAAAGCTGCGCTGGCGGGGAGGCTGTGCCCGGGCAGGAGGGCAGGGAGGAGCTGCTGTGCCCTCCCCCACAGTGATTCTCCAGCTCCAAATCACCCCCCGCAAGTTTCCTGGGGGGGGGCCCAGTTCTGCTCCCCTCGCAGCCCTGGGCGGAATCGTGTTCCAGCACGTTTTAGCACAGGCAAGCGTTGGCATCCCTCCGCCGGGCTTTTTGTCTGGCTCACCTTCCACGCTGTCCTTCCCACGCTGTTTTGTCCTGCTTGCAGTGCCCCCGCCCCACAGCCCTGGGAGCCTTACGGGGCAGGGGCAGCCCAGAAAAGACCCGAAGGGGGAACGCATGCAGGGGACTGGGGGGGGGGGGGAGACAGAACTGCAGGGCGCTTCTGCCCACCCAAGGGACACGGCCCGAGCATCCCCCCTACCTGCTGCGCTTCAGCGCCGTCTCCACATTCTGCCCCCGGTGCTTGCGGTAGAAGTCGATGAAGGAGAAAGGCAGCGAGATGTTGAGCGGGTTGGCGCGGTGGGGGGCGGCCGTCCGCTTGCGGGCCTCGAACGCGATGGTCAGGTCGACCCAGGCGGCCGGGCGCTTGGCCTTGAACGTGGCGATGAAGTCCTGGCCAAAAATCTGGCACAGCAGCTTCTCGAAGGCCAGGTCCACCCCCACAGCCCCGTAGGGACCTCCTGGAAGGCACAGGCGCAAGCAGGGGGACGGTCAGGGGGGCAGACGGACAGGCCGAGACACAGGGGAAAGGCAGGGGGAGCCCCCCTCCACGCCCACCCGCCCATCACAGGCAGGGAACTTTTGGGGACGGCTCCGGCACTGCGGCTTTGCCTTCCCCGTGAGATGGTTCGTGGCCCTTCCCGGATTCTTTTCGGAAAAGTTCCCCACAAAATGGTGGATTCAGAAGTTAGCTGCGATGGCTCTGCCTGCGTTGCATTGATGAGCTTCTCCCCTTCTCTCTGCTGTGCCTTAAAGCATTCTTTGCCAAGCGGGTCCCTCCCCGCAGGGCAGGGGAACCCCATGGGCGTCCAGGTATTACGTGGGATGTCCACCTCAAGGGCAGGTTTGACTGTCCACCTCATGTGCACGCTCCAGACTTCAGCATCTCCATTTGCAGGAGACGGCTTAGCTCGTATATACTGTAGGTGTTCGTTCGTTCGCTCATTTCATGTTCATACTACCCAATATCCTTGGCACGCTGGGTGGCTAACCAAAGCCACGGACAATCTTCCTGAGAAGAGCTGTGAAGCCTGGAAGGCTGCATCTGCATAGCAGGGGCTTCAACCCAGAGCGTCCCCTTCCCCTTCCTGCCACCAGATGGCGCAACAGCACCAAAACAGCTGCAGATTCTGCCCCCTTCAGTCAGGAATGGAAGGGAAGGCGCAGGGAGCCAGCAGCCTCCTTTTCAAGCGGGCAGGAGGTGCCCGAGGGCTGGGTGCGGCGCCCTGCGCCAGTGCCCTTTCCTCCTGCTTTCTTCCCAGGCTGCAAACTTGCCTCAACGACACGGGAACGAGGTCCACCTGCACAAACCGAAGCGTTCCCCCTCACCACCACGGAGGCCTGAAGCTCCCCGAGTGAGAAGCCCCGCAAGTGCACTCTTGGCAGAGCAAGGCGGCGCCTCTCCGTCGGCATCTTTGGCAGCCACGGCAGCTCGGAATCATCCGCAGCCCCTTCTGCTCGCCCACCGCGGCTCCTCTCTGGAGGAACCAAGGTCAGGTCATCCTGGACCAGGAGCAGAAGATGCTGCCAACCTGGGAGGGCCCCGCACCTCTAGGCAGGCTTGCTTGCTTGCTTGCTTGCTTGCTTGCTTGCTTGCTTATTAATTAATTAATTAATTAATTAATTAATTAATTAATTAAAACATTTATATGCCACCCCATTCACCGAAGCCTCGGGGCGGCTTACAACATGCTTCCCCCGCTCTCTGCGAAGGGGAGAGGATGGATGGATGAGGACCAGCTTCGGGGCTCAGGAAGGGCAGCTGCACGCCCCTCGGCGTATCCCTAGAAGGGGGCTGGATCCCGGCTGAGTGAGGGCATGGAGGGGACGTCTCTGCTTTGGCTGGCGTCACTCATGCACCCAGCACCTTCGGGTTCTCCATCAGCTTTCACCACCTTTTTAAATGCCTTCTGCTGTTGCTGGTTTACTTTGATTTTTTTATTGTGGTTCAAAACCTGAGAAATTTCACATTACTTCCTGGACTATTGGGCAGAACAAAAATGTAGAACAGAAGCAGGGAGACAAACCCAGTCTGGATTCAGCCCTCCGTACGTTACCTTCCTGGGACGGCAGCAGTAGGGGGGGGGGCACTTAGAATTCGTACGCTATCAGGGGAACTTGGTGCATGAATATTTTTCATCGCATACACTTAAAGCTTACAAGCTTAGGGTGCTGCTTCATTTAAAGCACACCTCTCCATCTTTGGCACACACAGAATCACAGAAGAGCAGAGTTGGAAGGGGCCACGAAGGCCATCCAGTCCACCCCCTGCTGTTGCAGGACACCAAGTCACACCACCCCACTCAGGTGGCTGCCCAGTTTCTTTCTGATAGAATCACAGACTCATCATCACACCTGCACGAACCATACCTGCCTGTGCACAGGTCACTGAACTTTGGCAAATGACCTGAAGCCCGTAGGAGGGGCTTCCCAAGAAACCTGCCCCCTAAGGTCTGGTTGGGTGTGGGGGAGGGAAGGGGAAAGACCCGCCGAACAGCGCAGACGGGCGGGTTTCGGCCTCCTTTCGGCCTGGGCTGAGACGCCAGCGAGGGTCCCCGGTGGCCGGTCCGGGGGCTCCTCAGGGACAGCCTCACCTGACGCCTTGTAGAGCTCCTTGAGGGTCCCCTGGGGCTGCTCGATCTGGTGAACCGTCAGATCCACGGTGCCCCCTCCGCAGTCGGCCACGATGTAGCGGTCCCCTGCAGCACCGAGGGAGAAGGCGAGGCGCCCTGCTCAGGTCGAGCAGCACTGGTGGCGAGAGAGACGACTGGCCCGCGACGTGGTCGGGGCGGCCCGGGACCTCGGGGACCCCACTGCGAGCACCACCGTCCACATGACGCCACGGGATGCGTGGCGTGGCCAAGGGCAGCTGCGAGGGGGTAGAGGCCCACGGGCACGGAGGAGGCGGCAGGATCCTTTCCCCGCCCCCCCCCCCTTGGAAGGGGGTCTTGCGGGAAAGATTTTCGCTGCAGATGCCACTGCTGTGCACCCTGGCCAGGGACACGACCCCTCCTGAAGCCCCCGCTGACCTGCGATGCCCCCCGCCCTTTGAGAAAGGGAAGCGCTGCAGCCCCTGGGAGACGCAGCACCCACGTCCTCCCAAGCCGCCCCCCCCCACGCATGCCCCTTGGCCTGCAAGCTCCCGGCCGGCAGAGGGGGCAGGGCGGGGGGTTCCACCGCACTTTGAGGAGCGCAGGTGGCTGCCGCTTGCCCGCCAGGACAGGGGTGCGCCCCGTTTTCGCCCCGACCCGCTCGCGGCCCCGTTTCTCAGTGCCCAGTGGATCGGACGAAGGCAGTTTTGCCCGGTTCCTCATTCCGCTAAACAAAATCTGCCCCCTGCCATTTCCCACCCCAAAACCACGCGCCGCACTCAGGGGAGAAGCACAGGCAGGGCAGGCGGAATTCCGCTCACGCTCGCAGGAGGTCCCCCTTTTCCCACTGGGGGACTCCCTAGTTTTATGCTGGGTTTCCCTCTGCACCTGCTGGCCTTTTGGGTTGGGGGGCTGCTGAAAGACCCAAGCAACCCCAAATTGCCCCCTCCCCAAAGACATAATCGAGGGGGAGAGGGCCTGCGGCATCAGGGAGACAAACAGCCCTTTCGCCTACCAGCGCATGCAAAGGCCCTGTAACCGCCTGCTGCCCTGCAGGTGTTCTGGACTACAGATCCCATGACGCACTAAGGTGGGCAAGGCTGCCCTACAGCAGAATTCAGAGACCCTCCCCTGCCCCACATCCGTCCCAGCAGCCTTAGCGAGAGCCCCCGGAACCCCCCCACCCCCTCCCCACTTGGAAGGCTCCTACCTGTCTGCATCTCAGACCACAGCTCCCCCACCCCGGACTCCACCAGGAAGGTCCTGCTGTGCCGGGAACGGCGAAGCTGCTCTCGCGCTGCGGAAGAGAGGTGGGAATGAGCAGCAAAGCGGGGGAGGCCCGGGAGCCGGGGCAGCCCTTGTGCTCGGGCCCGTCCCGCGGGGATGCGCCGTGCCGGCTGGCTGCCCAGAGGCCCCGAGACCCTGCTGCGGGGGGCTCCCTGCCCGGCCCCACCTCCATCCGGCTCAGGAAGTGGGCTATTCCTCGCACGCTCCCCTCTGCCAAGGCACCGGCACCCCCAGCTGCCAGGTTTCCGTGGGGGGGAGCATCGCCTGCCATTAACGGAGAGCTCCAGAGGCAACCGAGTACTGCGGACACGGCTTTCAGAACCCTGGGGAGCGGCCCCCACCCCCGTTCTACCTGAACCCCAGGGAAGATGGTAAGATTTTAATAGTTTGCAGCACTCGCCTTCTCTGAGCATGTCCAAAGTGATTCCCACTGAAGAGAACCAAAGGAATAATGGCAGCCACCCCCCTGCGAAAGGCTTCCTTTCGGGTGGGAGTCCACCTTCTGCGTTTAAAATGTCCTCAAGGACACGGAGCACCCAGCCGTTGAGTCAAGAAAGACGCCGCGCCAGAGTTCCCGCCCGGCTCAGCCCGGCCAGGTTGGGCTGCCTGGCCATCCAAGCCCGCCCACAGGGACTCAGGCAGGTTCTGCCCCACACCCGCCGGTCCACAGAACCTCCACGGCCTCCCCGAGCCCGTCTGCAGCGTGCAGAGCCTTTGGTAGCTGCGGTTTGTTCTGCTAATGAAGTCAAATGAAAGGCACATGTGAGAAATCGTAATTTAAACCACTGCATTCCCTGGCCCAAAGGGAAGAAAGGAGCCGCTCCGGAGAAGGGGCAGCCCTTGAGGGGAAAAAAGGCCCAGCTGCGAGGGCGCCTTGCCCGTTGCACGATCTGCCCACAGAACTCCTTGCCACAAGATGGAGCGGTGCCCCGTCACCCGACAGGCTTCAGCGAGCCCCGCAGAACTCAGGCCGGACCCTGGTAAGGTTTAACGCGGCTTTAAGCCAGATCCACCCACCGCAAGCACCACTGCTGACTGCGGGGGACACAGTCCGGCCCTCCTGCCCAGGACCCTGCGGGCGGACCGAGAAGGCCCACGGCAGCCGGCCCTGGGCCTCTGCTAAGCCGTTCTTGCAAGCAGATCAAGGTTCACAGAATCTTAGAATAGTCGAGCTGGAAGGAGCCAGGAAGGCCATCGGGTCCACCCCCTGCACTGCAGGACACCAAGCCACCCCACCCCACTCAGGGGGCTGCCCAGTTTCTTTCGGGATGCCTCCAGCGTGGGAGAGCCCCCCACTCTCCAGGCAGCCGGTCCCACTGCCCCACTGCTCTGGCAGTGGTGATGTCGGAGCTAGGCTAATTCCTGGATTCTGTTAGACCTGCCCGGCTAGGCTGGCTTTGCGAAGTGACAGCCGCGTCTTGCAAAGCCAGGAGACTGGCCAGCTGGGAGACGCTGCTTCTTGACCGACCAAAGCCAGTTCCAGGCTGGGTCCCTCCCCTCCCCTCCCCTCCCTTCCAAGCCTGCAAGGCGGGCTCTGCCACAGGTGGGACGGAGGCCGGACGACTGATACTGCTCCGTGGTGGCCTGCCCTGAACACGCGCCCAGGGAATCAGACTGATGTTGCCAACCTCACCCCGCCCACCTCAGGCTGCTCCCCAGAATCTCTCCCCCCGCCCTGCCCGGCCCATCCTGGGTCTCAGCCGCTGCTTGGCTTCTCTCTGTGCCTTGGCAGCTCCACTGGGAATTCCCGTCCTGCCTCTTCTGGACCAGCACCCGAGCCAACCGCCCTGAAGGGTGGGCGGGACGGCCCACCCCTGCACGGCCGTTCCCACCTGGCACCCTCGCCCAGGTCCAGCTGCAGCTCCCACGGCCCCAGCCAGCCGCACCGGCCATGTTTCTCCAGAGCGCTTGCGTGCGGGAGACAAAGGACACGGAGGTGCCCTCTCCTTGTGGGGCTGGTCGGGTCGTCGGCCGCGGGCCGCGGGCCACCATGCAGCCATCCCGCGGCAGCCGCTTACCCTGCCTGAAGCTGGAGTCGATGGGGAGCTCTGCCATGAGCCCGTTGGCCTGCGGTTTGTAGCTGAGGTCTATCAGCTGGTTGAGGCGAAGCTTCCGGCAGTAGATCGAAGCTGCTTCCGGCTCCAGAGCGATCAGCAGCTGCTCCGGGTTCTCCGAAGGAACCAGCCCAGCCTGAAGGAAGGAAGGAAGGAAGGAAGGAAGGAAGGAAGGAAGGAAGGAGGGAGGGAGGGAGGGAGGGAGGGA